GGGGGGGGGGGGGGGGGGGGGGGCACAGCCCACTCTGGATGGCTCTGGCGAGGTAGGCAGGGGCGAGGCAAGGCGCACCCTGCGGGGATCTGCGATCTGCGGGAGAGCACGGCTAACGCCTGGGGGTGATGGGTACAATGGAATGGTCCGTCGGCCATTTCTCTACCACTTCCAGATACTGGCTCCTTGCCCTCCCCAAACCAAACCCTGAAGGTTTAAGCAGTTCTTTGCTGTAGGGTTCAGGTTGGGGGGGTGGGGACCGTCCCTCCCTTCAGCTCTTACTCCTTTATTCCTGATTGCCTGGACCTTAGAGGTCATGTCGCGTGGGGCCTCCTCCCTCCTTCCTTCCTCTTCTTCCTCCCTTTTCCCCCAACAAGCCCCTCTCTGACTCTCTGCTCAGCACACTTCCTGCCGGCCCAGTGGAGGGAAAAGTAAGCCATGGCCCTGGAATCTACTAGAATGGATGTCCAGCTTGCTGGTGCAGTGTGGCTCCCTCGATGGAGATTCTGTTCCTCGGGTGGAGAAGACTCGAGAGGCAGCAGCATTGGCAGAAAAGCACAAGCTCAATTTTGACATCTTCAAGAGCCCTGCACGCCTCACTTATTTTCACAGTGTTCTTCAGTGCTCCACGTGGAGGATCCACAGAAGCCAAAGCCCAGGAGGACTGGCACAGGTGCCAGGCAAGGGTGAGTAGGACGTGGCTGGCAACAAGCCAGAGGCGAGGACAGTGGTGTCCCCTGCCGTTTGGAGAGCGTTTCACACCTCTCAGGTGGGTTCCACCTTCTAACACATTTCCACTGACTTCACAACCACCTGTGGTTTTGCCAGGCCGGCTGGCGTCCTCCTCACTTTCCAAGATGAGCCTTTTGTTTCAAGGTCATCTGGCAAGGGTTAGGGCCCAGGTCTCCCGAGTCCCCGGTTCCAAGATCTTTCTCTGGTTGCCTGTGTTCCGATGTCTCTTGGCGACCTCCTAAGGGGAAAAACCCTTCTCTTCCAAAGAGTGTTTTCTACTAATGCTAGGGTGGTGGTGGGTGGGCAGGAGGAATGACCACCTTCAGTCCCGAGAGCTTCCTAGATGAACAAGGCTGTCCTCGGCGTTGGAATGAAAAGACGTCAAAGTCCTCTGGGCACAGAGGGTTCCTGAGCTGCTCCTTCTGAGCCATCAGCCAGGCGGTGGCCGGGCTTGCCTCTGGCCCCCAGTTGACATACTCCTGCCACCAAGGTGCCCACCAAGGGTCTCGACAAGGCCAGTGATGCTTGACTCTACTGGAAGGCCCTGGGGCTGCTGCAGAGACCCCGAACGATTTCCTGCAGCTCCTACTGCGAAGCTGCGGACAGAGCAACAAGGGATTCTCCCAAGGTCACTGGGGTCCGAGAAGGCCACGCAGAGGGCAACAGGTGCCAGTCAAACAGGCAATCTTCGATCTGAGACACCCCAGTCTTAGCGTGGGTCCCTACCATGGTAGGGAAGTAGACGTGCTCCCAATGGCATGGGGGACCCAAACCAGGTGGACTTTGCCAGTGTCATCTGAGAGGGTGTGGGCATCTGGGATCAAGGCCTGGGCCATCAACCCACTCCTACCTCACGACGCCCCTTACGAATCATAAACACACACCGATCTCCTGAGGATTGATGATTAACACAGGCAATGGGTCTCTAGCCCCGTGTGTCCACATGCCAGGGTTAGTGGGCCAACAAACACCAACATCTACATGATCTCATGTAATCCCTCCATCAAAGCTGTAGGAGAGGTGTTATGGTCTCTCACTTTGATCACATGAAGAAATGGAGACGAAGAGGAGTACAGAATAAGTAGCTGGGGATCACCCGGGACTCCTTGGGAGATCTGGGTCCATGGCTTAGAGCTTTATCTCCTGACAGCACTCTCCTCATCCATCTCGGTGGCTGACGACACCTGTCCTCGGACCGGTGCCAGGCTGGCTCCGCTGGGAACCAAGGGCCTTGCCCCTGGAGATGCTGGTTCAAGAGCACAGGAGTCGACGGTTCCAGCTAACAAACAAAAGCCTTCTCTCCTCCACTCCTCTTGGACGGCGACTTGGAACCTGGCTTCCCATGTCCTCCTCAGCCCCCATCTTTGGACCTTAGAGGTCCACCCATGGGGACTTCGTGTCTGTGCTGACTTCCATCCCATGTGGTAGAGTCTCACATCTGTCGCTGCCGGCCCCTGTGGACCACACACGCCTGTGGTCTCCTCAGTTGCCAAAGACCGGGTCCTCCTCCCTGAACACACTTTCAACCGATGCTCCTGGCCTCTGCCTGTACCGCACATGCTCATTCTGCCTTGAGGACCTCCAGGTAACCTCATGTGCACCTCCGGTAACACGGATAAACCCTGGCAGCTGGGCTGGGGTTGTTTTTTGTTTTTTGCTTTTGTTTTTTTTTTAATGTTACTACCCATGTTTTTTTAGGTATGGCTCTACAGAAAGAAAATAAACTCTTTCATAACAAGACAGGTAAAAGCCTCCAGGTGATTCTAATGCCCAGGCAGTTTTGGGAAACTGCTCAAGTCTGTGGTTCTCCCCCAGGCTCTCTCGCGTGTGGCACAGCGCTGATTTCCATTTACCTGCTCCTTCCCAAGTGTCTCCCTGCCCCAGCCCCCTCTGTGCCCGCATTCCTGAGGCCTGGGACCCTTCTGGGGCAGATTGCTTCATTGTGTCTGTTTTCCCATATGTCGGGTTGCACAGCACAGCATCAGCCTGGGATCCTGGCCTCCCTTGCCCCCAGCTGGGTCACAAAGCCTCTAGTGGCGGGGGTGGGGGGGCTGGGGGGGGGGATTCATCATTAGCTCACTCAGGAGATCCGCTGGCACGTTGGCCACCCCTCCCCTCCCCGATCTGCTTAGTGGCCCTTTCCAAGTGCCAGCAGGAGCGGCTGGGTACAGCCACCACACGGGAACCCCCAGGGTTTGGGAGGGCCATGGCCGAGAGAGATACGAGTTAAGGGAGATGCTTAACTCTCTCCGCTCCGCTGCTATGGGCCCTAGGTCTGGGCTCTGTGAGGTTACATCCTCACATGTTGCACCGCTGAAACGGAAGAACATCTTGACTGTCCCATCCGCACAATGCTCTCCTTGTGTTTAATCCCACTGACTTCACCTTCTCTTGTCTGCAAACAGCTGGCAGTGCACTGGGGTGTCAGCGATGAGGAGGAGGAGGAGGAGGAGGCGATGTGCTCCCCGGGACCCACAGTCTGGTGGAGGAGACAAAATGCTGTTGCTTCTGGGATCATTGAGATAGCACCCCGGAGTCGCTGGGGTTCGGGGGAAGGCCGGCTCGCAGAGGAGAGCGAGAGGCGTCAGAGGAGACAGCATTTGGGTTGGCTCTTCGAGGAGGAATTTGTCAGCTAGAAAGGTGGAAGGAAAGAGGGCAGTTTAGACAGTGGGCATGTCACGAGCGTGGCACAGAAAACGCGGGCCCCAAAGCCGCCCGTGCGCAGGAACCGGACGGAGGGCAAACATTTGAAATCGTTCCGAAACCATTTCACTCATCCAAGAACCATGATCCCAAGCCTCACTACATGGAAAGCTCTAAGGTGGGTGCTGCGGGCAACAGGGAACAAATTAGTCTCCGCCCCAAAGGGCATCCAGTCTGGCAGGGAAAGAAGGACAATAAAAATAGCGGACCATTATGGAGTTTTAGCTATAGATGGAAACCTCCAGATTTCCTTGTTCTAAACTTGCCAAGACGAGGGGAGGGATGACTCACCCACGACGAAAAGCCAGCTGGAGAGACAGCCAGGATCAGACTCAGATCTTCAGATTTCTGTCCCATGCTCTTCTCCCTGTGCCACAGCAGAAAGCTTGGACGGGCCCGTGGGAGCTGGAGGGACAGTGTGAGGGCTTCCGGCTGGGGAAAGGGTGCTGGTGAGGTGCCTGAGCTGGGCCTTGAAAGCCAGGATGGCACACAGCGTGTGCTCAGGAGAGCTGGGTGTTCAGAGACCCTGAGACAGGGGGGCAGGAAGGGGTTTCCCGGAACCCAGGCTGGGGCAGTGGGGTGGGTCAGACCTTGTGCCGACCTTCTAAGAAGTCTATTTATCTCCGAGAGGGGTGAAGAAATGTGGAGACCAGAAGGAGGGAGCCTAGTGTGGCCACTCCCTGTCGGTGGCCCTAAGGTAGTCCCAGCCACGCCCAACTTGGTCTTTCCAGAATATGTAAATTTTTTACTTGCCCCTGCCGAGTGTAATCTTCCGGAAACCAGGGATCATTCAACATGACAAGTGGGCTGGTCACCGAAGGGGATACAGAAATGATTGTCTGTGCCCAGAGGATGTGACCCTCTCGGCCAGAGGACACAAGTGACTTGAGGCAGAGTGTCAGGGCTAGTTGGGGGGTGGGTAGTAGATACAAACACCTAGGAGATTAGGAATTACTGCTATCCAAACAAACAAACAAACAAACAAACAAAACAAAACAAACAACCAGAAAATAACCAGTGTCGGGGGCACCTGGGTGGCTCAGTCAGTTAAGCATCTGACTTTGGCTCAGGTCACAATCTCGTGGTTTGTGGGTTTCGAGCCTCGCGTGGGGCTCTGTGCTGACAACTTGGAGCCTGGAGCCTGCTTCGGATTCTGTGTCTCACCCTCGCTCTCCGCCCCTCCCCTCTTGCACTCTGTCTCTCTTTTTCTCAAAAATAAGCATTAAAAAAGAAGAAGAAGAAGAAGAAGAAGAAGAAGAAGAAGAAAAGAAAATAACAAGTGTTGGCAAGGATGCGGAGAAATTGAAGCACTTGGTGGCGGAAATGTAAAATGGTGCCATTACTGTGACAAATAATATAGCAATTTCTCAAAACGCTAAAAATAGAATACCACGTGACCCAGCAATTCCACTTCCGGGCGAATATCCGCAAGAACGGAAAACAGGGTCTTAAAGATATATTTATTTTATAGCCATGTTCATAGCAGCATTATTGACGATGGCTAAAACGTGGAAGCATACAAGCGTCCACCGAATAAACAAAAATGTGGTCTCTACCCGCCACGGCATATTATTCAGCCTTAAAAAGGGAGGAAAAAGCTCACGCAGGCTACGTCGTGGATGGACCCTGAGGACTCCCATGCTAAGTGAAATCAGCTGGTTACAGAAAGATAAATACCGTGGGATGCCTCTTACGTGACGTTACTGGAACAGTCAAGCTCGAGGAGACGGAAAGGAGAAAGGTGGTTGCCAGGGGCTGGGGAGGAGGGGACAGGGAGGGCGGTGGTATCGTTTAATGGGTACAGAGTTTCAGTTCGGGAATATGAAACAGTTCCGGTGACGGACACAGTGATGGGGGAACAGCAGTATGTATCTAAGGCCGTGCCAGTGGACAATTAAAAATTATGATAATGATTAAAGGTAATAGCCAAAATTAAGATAAAAATTAAGATAATAGCCAAATTATGGGAAGAGCCTAAATGTCCACCAACTGAAGAATGGACAAAGAAGATGTGGTTTATATATACAATGGAATACTACTTGGCAATGAGAAAGAATGAAACCATGCCATTTGCAGCAATGTGGATAGAACTGGAGGGTATTATGCTGAGTGCAATAAGTCAGTCAGAGAAGGACAGATACATGTTTTCACTCATATGTGGCTCTTGAGAAACTGAACAGAAGACCATGGGGGAAGGGAAGGGGAAAAGAATACTTACAAACAGAGAGGGAGGGAGGCAAACCACAGGAGAATCTTAAATGCAGAGAACAAACTGAGGGGGGCAGAGGGGGGGGAGAGGGGAAAATGGGTGATGGGCATTGAGGAGGGCACTTGTTGGGATGAGCACTGGGTGTTGTATGTAAGCCAATACGACAATAAACTATATTCATGGAAAATGGTTGGCTTGGGGTGGCGAGGTCGGTTGTTGTCTCACTCCAGCCAGGTCAATGATTCCCACTGTCCTGGTGGGTTCTGAGCTTCTCCCCGCTGCTAGCTCTCCTGGGCTGATGGCTCAGAGCCTGGAGCCTGCTCTGATCTCTGTGTCTCTCTCTCTCGCCCCTCCCTGCCTGATGCTCTGTCTCTCTTAAAAAAATAAATAAACGTTGAAAAAAAAAATTTTTTTAAAAAAATGGTTAAGATGAGACAGGGGCTTCCTGGGTCTCTAGCCTGTTGTTATCCAGCTCAGGTCATGATCTCAAGAGGCCCAGTTGGAGCCCTGCACGGGTTCCCTCAGCAGGCAGGCCTCGGAGCCTGGAGCCTGCTTCGGATTCTGTGTCTCCCTCTCACCCTGCTCCTCCCCCACTCATGCTCTGTCTCTGTCTCTCTCTCAAAAAATAAACATTTAAAAATGTATAAAAAGTGGTGAAGACGATAAATTTTATGTCGTATGTATTTTACCACAATAAAAAATTTGAAAAAGGAAAAAACCAACAGGAGATGAGGGGTCAGCAAACGCTTCCTATAAAGGGCCAGACGGTAAATACTTTCAGCTTTGCAAGTCATACGATCTCTGTCACAACTATGCAAATACTCAGTCCTATCAGTTTGGCACAGAAGCCACCGCAGATAAGGAATACACAAATAAGTGTGGCCAGGTTCCATTAAGTCTATTTACAAAAATAAGTCCCGAGCCAGACCTGTCCGTGGGCTGTGGTCTGCTGATCTAGGTGTCCACACCCGTATCTTGACTTTCCATTGACCACTGATCACAGGCTCTAGGTTTGTGAGGTTTTATGTCTTTTAGAAAAAATTTTTTAGGGGTGCCTGGGTGGCACAGTCGGTTAAGCATCCGACTTCAGCCAGGTCACGATCTCGCGGTCCGGGAGTTCGAGCCCCGCGTCAGGCTCTGGGCTGATGGCTCGGAGCCTGGAGCCTGTTTCCGATTCTGTGTCTCCCTCTCTCTCTGCCCCTCCCCCGTTCATGCTCTGTCTCTCTCTGTCCCAAAAATAAATAAATAAACGTTGAAAAAAAAATTAAAAAAAAATTTTTTTTAATGTTTAGTTTTGAGAGAGAGAGGGAGAGACAGAACGCGAGCAGCAGAGGGGCACAGACAGACACAGAATCCGAAGCAGGCTCCAGGCTCCAAGCTGTCAGTGCGGAGCTTGGCCTGGGGATCCAACTCCCAAACCATGGGCCACCCAGGCTCAGGCTCATGTGAAGTTTCCATGTTAACTTGTAGCCTCTTGTCAGGCAGAGTGCAAACAATTTCCCTCAGGTAGAAAAGATCTTTCCAAAACTTAAGGATGTTTGCCCTGGAGGGCAATACCAGTTCAGTATCAGACCTATCGGTTCTATCTAGCTATTCCTATAAATACCTTGTTCTTCAAATTCTCCCAGGAGTCATTCTGCCTGTCCTGCCTGTTCCCTCATGAAGGAGTTAAAGAAATCTCTGATGCACAGTCTTTCCTTAAAAACAGAAGAAAAACTATAAGAAATCCAAAAAGGGGGTGATTAGTGCTCGCTTCGGCAGCACATATACAAAAAGGGGGTGATTCAAATTGCTGGGGAGATCAGGAAAGGCTTCTTGGAGGCGGCAGCATTTGAGAAGGGCCTGGAAGGTTGAGAAGGCTGGCTGGCTTGGGGGCCTGGAACAGGTCAGTGGAAGGCTGGGGAAACGGCATGGAGCTGGAACGGGGTAAAAGGAACAGCACCCCAGCACACAGGCTGAGAATCTCTTCCGGGGGGCAATGAATGGCTCGGGGATCTCCGACCCGGTTCCCAAGGCCTCACGTGGCCCCCTGCCTGAGTCAGCCTGCATCGGGTTTGATGCTAAGGACAGGCCATGGAAAGAGGCAGACCTTGAAGTGGGGGCCGGGCCCCAGCACTGCTGATGTCTGTGCGATCCTGATTTCCTTTTTTTTTTTTTTTTTAAAGTTTATTTATTTATTTTGAGAGAGTCAGAGAGAGAGGGAGACAGAGAATCCCAAGCAGGTTCTGCTGCCCTTTCCGCGCGGAGCCCGATGTGGGGCTCGAACTCACAAACCATGAGATCATGACCTGAGCCAAAATCAAGAGTCAGATGCTTAACCGACTGAGCCACCCGGACGCCGCCTGATTTCATTTCTTCACCCCTGCATATCAGCTTTTTCACCTGCAAACAAAGACAATAATAATTGTGGATCGGGTGACTCACTGACTCAATGGCCCTGTGACTCAATGGCCCTGAAGGAGACGCCTTCGTGTTTGGTTCCCCACAACTCTCATCACACCTGTGCTCAGGGCCATGCCCCCACCCTCACAGGCAGAGGCCGTGCCCCAGGCACCTGTTCTCTGGCTGGGAAGGGGGTAGAGGACAATGAGGCCCATGGGTGGGGCTTGTCCTGGCTGGGCAGCCAGCCGAAGCCGCTTCACGGATCATTCTACTCACTCCGACCGTAAACAATTGCTGAGGCCTGATATCCCATTTTATATTTACAGAGCCATATTTTCTCTTTCTGGCGAGCAACAGCAGTTAGGTGGTTCTCAAAGTCGCTCTGGGTGTACACAGGGACGCACCCAGTGTGAGCCCATTGTACCCATGAACAAACTCTGGTTCCAGAGGGAAAGTGACGCAGAGTCATCGAGAAGTCACTGGTAGGGCTGGGGCTTCGGCTCCATGGCCTGGTTGATGGTGACTGTTGTCGGCCACTTCCTCCAGCTGCCTTTCCATCAACACCAGGGCCTGCACTGGGGGCTGCTGGAAGCCGAGCTATCCCAGCCTGAGTGGCAGGGCCCGGGCTGTGGACGGATTGGTGACTGCAGGGCGGCCCGACGACAGGGAAGCTTCTTGTCCTCCCGCTTTTAGGTAATTCGGCCTTAAAAGTACCTGGGGTATCGTCTGTGGGGGAATTGTCCTCAGCAGGCCCCCTGGGAAAAGAACCATTAGGGAAGAAAATAAGGTCCCGCAAGAAATTGTGCAGCCTTACGTTTAGCCCTTGCCGTCCCCTCTGGAGACTTCTCTACTTACAGGAAGGATAGCCTCATACATTTGCCAGCAAAGGCGGCCAATGAAGGAGAGACATATGGATCCGAAAGCCCCACTCCAGTAACTAAGGAGTGTATCTTTGGACACAGGTCCCTCTGACCCCTGGGTCCACTTGGCCCCCAGGAGGCATTCCAGATGATGACTGAACCTAGTCGGTTAAAGTACAGAATGGTTCATTGGTTCCTAGGTGCATTGTCTGTCTGAGAATGTATAAGGCGTGGGTTTCTAAGGCCCTCTTGGCCCCCTTCCTGGCACCTCGGACCCAGGCGAACACTTTTCTTCAAAACCACGAATGGTTCAGGGAAACAACTAAGAGGTCGTGTCCCTGTAACTGTTCCACTTGAGGTGTTGAGAGATAAATGGCCTTTCGTGAAAACAGCAAAGCAAATACTTTATAAATTATAGATGAACATAGATACATAATAAAAACAAGAAAAGAAATTAATCAATAAGCAAAGGGCAGGAGGGAACGTTATGACAAAACAATCATGTTATTCCTCATTGGGTGACTATGCAAAGGAACAATTTTAGAATCGGGTAATGTTAGAAAAACATAGATGACGTACGTTACAAGGAAAACACTAGCATATATTATGCCACGTTTACTGCAATAAAGGGGCCAGTTCAACACACTGCTGTCGTCTGTGTCCATTTTTATTTTAGTTTTTTATTTTTATTTCTGTTTTAGTTTTGTTTTATTTTCACTTTTTCGCCGACGCCGTTCATCCTTCGGGAACCCCCGTACCTGCTGGAGCTGGACTGCGGCAGGGGGCTGTCAGACTGATGACTGTAAGTTACATGGTCTCTGAAATCGCTTCCGGGCCGCCTCCAGCGACACTGAGGTGTGTCTGGTTGAGGGAAGTGCTCTCTAGGCTCTAGGTGCTGCTCAAAGCCTCCAGCGTCCCAGACTGAGCCCAGGCAGCTGGGAGGCGCTGGGCGTGGAAGGCAATCTCCATCCGCTTTCTGGGGAGATTACTGCCTCCTTCACTCTCAGACTCTGATTTGCTGGCCCCGGTGGTACCACAAGCTGAGCGCCTCAGGAGCTCTGGTCCCTCTGTGACTGTGGCCGCTGATTTGTTCCCTGGCTTCCTGCTGATCGGGGCTAATTCCTGAAAACTCAAAGTCCGTCTCTAGGCAGGAACAGACTGTGGCCTGAGCTGAACAAGCCTGTCTGCAGCTCTGAGGGTATGAACTCACTCCCCCAGATCAGTCGCTGAGCTGTGGGGCCGAGTCACAAGGTGGAGATAAACAGCCAGGAAAGTCAGTGAAATGCTGGCCTTGGAGTGGGCCGCTCAACCTCGTTCCCCAGCAGCGGGGACTGGGAAGACACCCCCTCTGCAGTCTTGGGGCGGGGGGCTCTTTAGCTCAGCCTCTGGTTGCTCACCCCTTCCAGAGAGGGGGCTGACCTTGTCGGGCACTCCTTCTCACTCTTCCACGGTCTTCCTACAGCATCTTTTGTGGCCTCGGCATTCATGGCCAGGGGCAAATCCCTGCAAATCCTTCTGGACATTTCCTTAAGGAACAAATCATGAGCCAGCGAGCAATCCCACTGCTAGATAGATCCACCAGAGAAACGAGCACGAAGGCCCACCAAAAATAATAATAACAAGCACAGAACAATCCGGACAGCTTTATTCGTAACAGCCCCAAACTGGAAACGCGACAAATGTCCATCAGCAGTAGGAAGCATAAATAAATCGTGATATGGTCCCACAGTGGGACAGCACTCAGCAATAAAAATTGTTATTGTTCATGTGCAACAACCTGGAGGAATTTCACAGATGCAGTGATGATCAAAAGACGGCAGACCTACGATACAACGTGCTGCGAGATGCCATTTAGATGAGATCCAAGAACAGCCCAAGTGAATAGATGGTGATACCGGTTAGAAGAGCGGCTTCCTCGGGATGGGGAGACCGCCCTGGGTATTGGAAATGTTCCTTGTCTGGTTGGTAGCAGCATAAGTGTGTGTGTGTGTGTGTGTGTGTGTGTGTGAAAATCTTCAAGTTGTATACTCAAGATTTGTGTATGTTACCATATGTACATTATGCCTCGATTAAAGCAATTAAAGGACCAATGATCTCCCGGTTCGTGAGTTCGAGCCCCGCATCAGGCTCTGCGCTGGCTCGGGTGTGCTTTCTCTCTCAAAATGAATGAATGAATGAATGAATGAATGAATAAACAAATGACCAAATACATTTAAAATTTGTTCTATAAGGTATACATTCTGGCTCTTTTCCCCTGAACATCCCGGCCACACTGGTTCTCTTTGTCAGTTGGGTGCTGGGGTGGGCAGTTCCATAAGTGGCTCTTCAGAGGTTTCCTGCTCCAAAGCATGAGAGGCTCTGAATTGCTGCCCTGCACCCATGACCGGCCCACAGAGGCACCTGCTTCCCTTTGCCGTCAGCCCCCTTGACCTGTTGTCTTCCCATATAAAGTGCCAAGGGAGAAAAGAGCAGGAAGATACGGGACCTGAGACATGGGAAGGCCACATGAAAGGGTGAACATTTGAGCAGGGCCATGGCGGAAAAAAGTCTAGGAGGATCTGTGCTACGCGGGTAACTGTGGTTAACTCCGCAGAGAGAAAGGCAAGGGAATGTTCACGTTTTACTCCACATGTTTCTGTAATGGTTGAAGTTTTTATTTTATTTTAATTTTATTCTCTAAATGTTTATTTATTTTTGAGAGAGAGAGAGTGTGTGAGTGGCGAAGGGGCAGAGAGAGAGGGAGACACAGGATCTGAAGCAGGATCCAGGCCCCGAGCTGTCAGCACAGAGCCCGACGTGGGGCTCAAACTCACAGACCACGAGATCATGACCTGAGCCGAAGCTGGACGCTCAACCGACTGAGCCACCCAGGCGCCCCTGATTGAAGTTTTTAAATGAACACGAATTATCTCTATATTTAAAAATAATAATAACATATATTCACAAAACTCATATAGTCCGACCATCTCAGTGGCGAAGGTACAGGCAGAGGCGGGAGCGTTTTGCCCAAGATTACATGACTACCCTGTGGCAGACCAAGGCTGTCATCGGGCCCTCTGGTTACCCGCGTCCTGCTCTTTGGAACTTGTTCTGTACAAGACCTGGCCTGTAATTACAGTTGAATGTTCTTGGTTGCTGATCATTTCGCTTGTTTTTCCGACTGAGATTTTTCTCTCAGGATGCGTAATATATCAGCTCAGGCCGTCATATCAAAACACCACAGGCCCAGTGGCTTAAACAGCAGAAATGCATTTTCTCACAGTTCCGGAGACTGAATGTCTAAGATCAGGGTGTCACCACGGTGGGATTTCTTCCTGGCTTGCAGATGGGACTGCCTTCTTGCTGTGTCTTACATGGATGGTATTTCCTGGGTGCAGAGGGAGAGAGGGAGTTCAAGCTCTCTGGCATCTCTTCTTACAAGGGCACTAATCCCATCAGACCAGGGCCCCACCCTCATAACCTAATGACCTCCCAAAGACCTCATTACAAAAACCATAACATTGGGTGTCCGGGCTTCAACATATGACTTGGGGTGGGGGACACACACATTAAGTCTATCACACAGACATAGCCCTCCCAGATACGGGACATAATTACTACTCCTTTCTCCATCTTGGACATTTTTTTCCCCCTGAACTTTATTTAGTTTAACTAACAACTCTTTACTGAGCACTTACCGTGTTCTAAGATCTTAGGATACATCGGTGAACAAAAGGACAAAGACCTCTATCCTCATGATTCCTTTTTAATGTTCGCGGACCCCGGGGCTTAGTCCTTGGTTCCCTTTCTCTTGGGTTAATCCACTTTCATTCTCTTGGTGATCTCATCCAGCTTCACAGCTGGCTGTAGACAACATGTGTAAGACAAAGACTCCTACCTTTCGATTTGCAACCCCATCTCTCCCAACTCCACTGCCCACCCAGCACTCCCGCTTGGTTGACTAATATCTGTAGTGGGCGGTATGGGATGCAGGCTGGATTTTTCCCCTTCAGGTCCAAGGTACTCATTCCCAAAGCCGTAGGGGGTGTTGCCTGCTCACAGCCGACCTCCCCCAGGGACTGCCTTCGGCTGAAGGGAGCTGCGTCACCCAATCGAGTGACTGAGGTAGCCGACCAAGGCTCAGTCCTCTCGCTTCAATTCAAGACAACTTTAAGAAGTCATTCCAGGGACCCCGGGGGGCTCAGTCGGTTAAGTGTCCAGCTCTGGATTTCGGCTCGGGTCAAGATCTCACGGTTTGTAAGATCAAGCCCCGCGTTAGCCTCGCTGAGCATGGAGCCTGCTTAAGATTCTCTTTCTCTCTCTCTTCCTCTGCGCCTTCTCCCCTGCCCACACACACATTTTCTCGCTCTCAAAATCATTCCAGTTCAGGTACGTGGTATGTGGCCATTGAGACGGCAGATAAGTTCTCCTCTATCCTATCTGGAAGGATGACAGGAAGTTGTCCACACTCACAAGGGATGAACAACAGCATCCATTATGGTCTAGCCCCAGGGCTACGTTAACTCTCTTTCGTCTGTCACAAAACCGACTGAAGGGACTTGGACCGCCTGGACATTCTGCAGAATATCTTGTTGATCCACTATGTCAATGAACGAAAGTGGAAAGTGGATTGGAGTCTTGACGAGACATGTTTGTTTCAAAAGAGGGAAAATAAATCCTATGAAGAGTCAAAGGCCCTGTTCAAAACGCATGACCACGCCTCACAGAGATGTTTATAGCAACGTATTTCATAATTGCCCAAATTTGGAAGCAACCAGGATGTCTTTCAGTAGGGTGAATGGATGCATAAACATCCAGATGATGGACTATTCCTCAGTGCTAAAAAGAAATGAGGTAGTAAGCCATGCAAAGACACAGAGGAAGCTTAAATGCACTAAGTGAAGGAAGCCAACCTGAAAAGGCTCCGTACTGTACGATCCCAGCTACCTGACATGTGGAAAAGGCAAAAGTATGGAGATGGTGAAAAGATCAGTGGTTTCCAGGGCTTGGTGGGAAGGGAGGGATGAACAGGTGGAGCACAGAGGATTTTTTAGGGCAGAGAAACTACTCTGTATGATACTATAATGGTAGAGACATGTCATTATACATTTGTCCAAACCCATAGAATGTTCCACGCCAAAAGTGGACCCTAATGCAAACCATGGACTTTGGGTGATTATCATATGTCAACACAGGATCCTCAATTGTAATAAATGTACCACTCTGGTGGGGGCTGTTGATAATGGGAGAGGCTGTACATGTGTAGGTCAGGGGGTACGTGGGAAATTGCTGTACTTTCTGCTCAGTGTTGCTGTGAACTTAAAACTTCTCTGAAAAGTAAAGTCTATTTTTAAAAAAGAGTCAAAGGCCCACCACATCAGTGAAATTTTTAGGGGTCTTGGAGCATTTAGGACATCCTTTTTTAAAAAAATATTTTTTAAATGTTTATTTTTGAGCGAGAGGGAATAAGCAGGGGAGGAGCAGAGAGAGGGGGACAGAAGATCTGAAGTGGGCTCCGCGCTAACAGCAGAGAGCCCGATGCAGGGCTCGAACCCACGAACTGTGAGATCATGACCCTGGCCAAAGACGACTGAGCCACCCAGGCGCCCCAGGACATCCTTTTCAAAGTAAAAGACAAAGTAAAAGATAAATTGCATCTCTCACCACGAAGCAGGAAGCATAATGCCTGGCAGGACTCTTACGGTTCCAGAAGCTGCATATCCTATACTTGGGAATACTACTCTGACCCGTTTGCTGTGCGGCATAGAAGGATGGCTAGATTTAAGTGGGGTTCAGTAGAGGGAAAGTTTTCTGCAACAGGTCCAGGCTGAAATGCAGGAAGCCCTACCACTTGGGTCATAAAAACAGGCAAATCTCTACCATAATATCTGTGCTCTCAAAAGATATGTGGAGCTTATATCAAATCCCAAAAGGAGAGCCACATCATAAACTCCAGAGCTCTGAAACAAGGCCAAGCCATCTGCAGCAAAGAATTTGAAAACCGGCTCCTGGCATGCTTTGATTTTTGGTAGAGATGGAGTAACTGACCATGGGATATCAAATAATCATGTGGCCAGACTGCCCATCATGAGCTGGCTCCTGTCAGGGCTACTGGGTCAAGGTCATGTGGGTCCAGGAGCAATGCACTATAAGATAGACCAGAA